TAAATGTGTTATTTGGTTTCAAAATGGCCTTCATTTGCACATCTGTATTGTTCATGACGTGGTTTACGTAGGCGTTATAATTGCCTTTGAATTCAGATTAATACACAAAAATATGATTAAAAAAATTGATAATAATATATGTAACGAAATTGTTAACTGAAGCCCAGAAAGAATAAATTGTTGAGATAGAAATTTAAATAATCTTATGTCACATTCGTTTTTCTCATAGCTATATATTTTGATTATGATAAAAATTCCCGTCCGGACCTGGATGAAAATCCTTTGTCTCACGTTCTTACTATTGCAATAACATTGAAATGTTTTAAGATAAATAAATATATATATATAACTGAAAATACATCTGGATTCTTGATTTATGATTTTTTCAAAATCACGGAAAAAAAATTTCTTAAAGATAGAAAATGAAATTTTGATCTAGAAAGATCACATAATTATGTTAATTTTGCAAAGTAGGGTAGCTATCGTCCTCATTATCTAAAGAAGGCCTACTTAAAAAAAGTCTACATTGTAGATTTGTTAAAAATAATGTTGCAATTTTTGATGAACATTTCTCTATGCGATATAAAACATAAATCAAATATATGCTAAAGAATGAAGCAAATTATTTACTTGGATATGAAGCATTATCGATATTTAATAAAATGAGTAATTCGATATTTGAATATGTTTATAATGACCTATTTTTTTAAAATCTTCACAAAATATGAAAAATCACAACTTTTTAATTTCATTGACAATAAAACATTCATAAAAAATGCGTTACAAAAATAAGCATCAATTCTTGTGTGTGCAATTGCAAGAGTTAGAAAAGACCATGAATTTAGGAGAGAGCCAATTTGCAATATAAGTTATTTTTTGACTTCAAAATGAATATTAAAACTGATATATTTTCTAAAAATCTTACTCTACGTTTACCTTATATACAACATTCATTTGACATTTCAAGTCCATGTTCATAAAAATTCAGGTATACGTAACAGAATAGAAAGTATATCGTGAAATAAATTGTTACTTCAAATGTTTTGTGATACTTGCCTTAAAAAATTTTCTTATATTATTTATTATAATTTAATTATATTTCACAATAAAGAAAATTTTAGATCATCTAACTTGTTTACAATCGGTTCAAAATGAAATGAAAATTCATGGCAATAAAAATTTATTTAATTGAACGTTACGGGATAAATTTTATATCTTGATATAGCAAACTGTCACTAAAGAGTTTATATAATTTAGAAAGATAATTTTTGTTTTCATATTTCCTCAGTGTCAAAATTCAATACATTTTTTTATTCAAAGTAATATACTTGAATAAATCTTATGCTTATACAAGATGAAATATTTTCATGGGAAATAATTTTCTATTCAAATTGTTCTGAAAAAATCTTCAAATTAACCTACTTATCTCATAAATTGAAACAAACTAGATTTTGTCATTATTAGTACAATTTATCAATTTAAACTTATATATATTACACTTTGTGAAATAATATTTCACCTGCAAACATATCATTATTAATATTATGCTAAAATCTTTATAAGAAATGCGATATCATGATTTCACCCAAATATTGATATAAAGTTAGAATACACATAAATAACATTACATCCTAAATTTTAAATATAATTGCATTTGAAGCAAAAGAGATTGTAGTTTTAGTGAGGAGAATATGAATACTTTATTCAGATATGACTTACAGATACACAGTGATAGGTCTCCGAATGATAACATTTTGTATCTTAAGATACATAGTATAATTATAAAAAAACGTAAATATCCAAAGTGAGAATGCTTTGTATCTTCCTGTATATAACGTATAGTCTTAGATTAAAAGTTGTAGAGTTTAGATGTATATATAGATGAATAATTTCATGTATCTTCTATACAGCGCTTTCAAATTTATTTTTAATCAATCAAGGATGAATTTATCACACTAGTTTTAAAAATTATAATTTATGTAATACTTTGATAGTTCTCATGATCCATGCGATAAATCTGTAAAACTCAAGTATGTGACTTCTTCTTGTTCAACTTTTGTAAAGAGTTATTATATTGTATGAATGACTAATATATCTGGTTCGTTTTTTTAATTTTTTACATTAGACTAGACTATTATTACACATGAGGTGATTCCCTATAAGAGAAAGAGACCTAGTTCATTTGTTCTTTGAAGGACAAGAGAAATGGCGACGAATGTGTTTGTTTGATGATTACTTCTTAGGAATACTTGTCGGGGACTTGTCTTGGAAGTTAACACCAGATTATTCTCTACTTGTCTCTCTTTGTTATTTAATAGTGATTGTGATTTCTGATAAATGAACGTGCTACATTATATTGACACAAATTCATCGCTGGACCCCATAAATATACATCGATATAATTCTTTGTATTAGGTTAATTATTTGCTTTATTGGTGCTTGTTATTTATTACAAATGATTGTGCTCAATTTTGTGCACATCAATGCACATTACTCTTTAGACAGCGATGATTTAGCTCTAATTAAATCACTCTACACTTACAGTAACTAACTTAAAATCACTACAATGATCGTCCATCACGTTTAACCATACTTTTCAGCTACTTTCTTTATAACGTGACCTTTGCTCATATCGTGAGCACAGTGTCACATGGAGTGTTTCAAGGGGCAAGCGCAGTCAAGACCTGCGCATGGTTGTCATAGAAATCAGCACAGCAAGGTACATCAGTTTGACCATTTGGCATACTGAGTTACTGCAAGGTGCATAAAATTGGATCTGACACAAATCTGATGGCTACGTAATGTAATGATTGAGCTCGATCAAGTGTAACCTCACGACAGAAAAGTGAGGATTGAGAAGAGCGGGCGACGTACAAGTCTGAGCGTGGATCTAGTATCTCCTATTCAGAAGGAACGAAGAAGAGGAATCTCTTGTTATCTTTAACCAGGATCAACATCGGTAGATCTAATACGGTTGATGCATGCATGAGCACTTTTTTCATCATTTGATGTTCAGCTGTCATCGCAGAAATGTGTTTACTTCTCCGAACTGGTAATTTTCAGCTATTACTATTTCAGTGAGGAAATACATCCGATGTTCTCTACATGCAGATTATCAATGAAGTCAAACGCACAGGCATTGTCTGATGAGTTAGACATTTCTTAGTAGAAAGAGTTGTTCATGCAGTCGACTTGATTGATTAAAGCGAGCATGGTCCATTCGATCTGACAATGGGAACAGCAAGTGGCGACTCGAGTTCATCCCAAACCAGAATGTTCTTCCATATATTTTTCATTGCTTTTCCTACATTTTTTGGCTATTTCCACGCAGCATTCTGTTGCACTTGTCGCCCCAGGTATAACTACACCGCTATGTTCTTATCGTTAACGCAGCTTGTAGATCAATTTCGGAAACCATGATTTACTGCGATTGTCGTTATTTGGAAAGCAGACTGGGTAGTTCATCTACTCATAGGCCTTTCGTTACAGAACCTATCGCCTCAAACGCAGTACGCGCCTTTCACAGAGTATGTGAATTGCGAGCCAGCATCCAGCTTGCGTTCTTCATCGAGGTTGATAGCCAGTCATGTTGATCTATAACTGATAAGACAATAATTCTCAACTGTCAGGATGTCAAATTTTATTACAGATATTGTCTCAGAGGACAAGGAAAAGGAAAAAGCTAGTATTCCAGGTTTTACTTATGACAGCATGGCGTTAGATTGTCCGTTCTGTTGGTTAGTAACATACATTTAGCAGGAACGAGTTTTCCTTATTGTTTGATTCATATCTTAATACATGAATATTAGTTGATAGTGTAATTGAGTGTGAAATAAATTTACTTTGAAATAAACAATATAATGCATAATCATACAAATTGAGAATAAGAACATTCACCAACAAAGTGGTCGAGACCCAAAACGATATAAGTATCCCATTCCAATTTTTCACTGCCACCAATAAATGCCCTGGGCTAGCAATTATAAAGCACAGTTATTACTCGGACGAATAAACCTGGAAATTTACAAAAGTTATATTCTAGTCGAACTTATCTTCAAGTTTGTCAATTACAAGTTGATGATGAATCCGCGAGTGCAGATTATAGACCCTACGTAGGCTTTTACTTCAAATCGTTTCGAGACCGCATACCTTATCTGGTTTGATTCATCTTCTGTCACCACTTGTGTGGAATGAAGATAAATTTTTTTCTCAGTTCCTTTATATTGGATCTGAAGAAAAAGATTCAGATAATAATCTCGTCACCACAAAACATATTCTGAGCGCAATTTAGAACATTGAGATTATGATGCAGCGGACTGTCTCCAAGTTTGGAAATTGATGAAATCCATTAATCTAGAGCATATATAACGCGCTGAACTTTGGCCCTGTACCTTGAACGTACGATATACAAAAGCAAGATTAAGAAGCGTTATTGCCTTGATGGTAATTCAAAAGGAGCTATTCTAGAAAAATCTGTCTATAAAATACCTTGATGAAATATCAGAAACCCGCCTGCAACTACCGTGGTCTTTGTCACAGGAAAGCTCTGCAAAACAAGCTTTATAGGCGCAACCTGCAGGAAATCACACTCAATTCTCGTCCAAGTGAAAAGTAGACCTCTACTGAGTACTTTTTACCAAGAACGAAACCATCAGTCGTTTTACATGGAATTCTCGATTTGCTCATGTGGGTATTATTGCTGCCAGTAGATGTATTCTATCTAGAGTACTCTTGAAAAACATTTCAACGTCTTGGTGAAAATTTTTGTGATTACGTGGTGACCAGTAACTTGTGCATATGAGCCACAGTGCTTAAGCTGTTTCATAGCGGACCTTGTCTCTACACGAGCACCAATTCCACGAATTTTCTGTATATTTACTCGGTCAAAAAGTGTTGTGTCTAGGAAGGTTTTGGGAGAGATTATGACCTCACCTCGAAAAGAAGCACCCCCTGGGCCTATATAAACCACCTCCTATTCAACAATAAGCACACTCTCATTCTCACCTGAATTGTATCAATTTGCAGCACTTCAGCAGCCTCGTGTTCACTCACAGTGCCTGTCCACCACTTCCATCTCTTCAATCAGAATGAAGACCGCTCACCTCATTGCTATTGTGGCCTCAGTGCTTGCTGCAGCCACCTTTGCCGCAGCTGCATCCTACTCCTCCAGCCTTAAAAATGACTGCGATTTTGACGTCAATGTGAACATCGTGCTCATACCGGGTCTCCAGCTCGGGTCACTTGGTGTCATCACCGTCGTTGCCCACACCGTCCAGTCCGTGCTGTACACCATAACGGGCCTCGTCTCCAGTCTGCTCGGCCTGACCTGGAAGATCTCCGCTGTGATCGATGGGGTCTTGCGCACCGTTAACGTTGTGGTGCCCTTGAATGGAACGGTTCAGATCGTCGAGACAGCGGTGGGCACGGTTGCAGTTCTCGTCAACAATGTGGTCAAGGGCTACCTACTTCAGTGTAAGTATCTGAAGGCTCTCATCCTGATGAAACTTGATAATCGTCACATTCAAGTTTCGTTTCACAAGATGTTTGGGATTTCTTGGACACATTTTGCAGCTAATTCTAATTAGATGAAGTTCATATGTTGCTATTTTGATTGAATGATTTCCGAGAAGACTAGTGATTTTCGAAATACAAATGAAATGAATTTGACATTCAGATCTCTATTTTAAATTGCAGAAGCCCATGCTCAGAAGCAGGTCGGCTGATTCCCGGTGGACACGAATCAGATAACTTTTAGTGTTTTTACCAACTATCCCACCATTTTATGGCATACACAGAAGTCGATACGCTCCTCTCTTGAATATTTTCATTCATCTTATACATAGGATGAAAGAGAGTCATCGAGTCATCCAGTGATGATCATTTCATAGACAGATAATAAAGAGGATTGATTTTACCAACTATGAGATGCACTCATGTCTGCATTGGTTAGTTCTGTGTTCGCTTCTCTTAACTGTTTATTTTCTTCAATTACCATGACATTTTGGTCATGATGAGTTTCATCGCACTGTCAGCGTTGAATAAGATCTCCTTCACTATCTTTGATGCATGCACTCTCAGTGCTTCCATTTACTTCTCTGTATCCGCTTTGACATCATATGTTCTCTCTTCTCCAAAATTTCTGGAATTGCCATGTTTGCCTGGGATTTGAGAAGAGCAAAGTAGGCATTTCATTTGCTCATGAGAACTCAGGCAGTTGGTCACAGAGCCTATCAGTGCAAGTGCATTACCACGTCTTTACATGAAGCTGTAAAGCTGCGAACAAGCATCCACGACTGCGTTCTTATTAAAAGCATCATGTGGGAACTTCAATGAGAACTAAATTTTGCACATATATATACTTAACAAAACCAGGTGAAAGAACAGGCGCTTACTCCAGTCATTTTTCCATATCCACCTCCTTATTAGAAAGTTACGAAATAGTTCATCAAAATATGTCCGAGGGATGTACTTCATTGGTATCATAGTGTCGCTTGACCGTTTTGATCGTTAGAACCATATTCTCAGTTTTTTTTTCTGCATCATTGATTGATGTACACAATACAACTATGCTCCGTGTTGCAACAGAAGATTCAATTGCAGATGTGCATATCCTACGAACTAAGAACAAATCATTCTTTTCATTGCCAACAACAAAAGTTTAGAACTATCACTTAATCCAGTATAAATTCTTGGACGTATCAAGCTGGAAAATGAATTTGACAACATTGACTCTGGTAACTTTTGCTGAAAATGAGATGAAACTGCAACTCGAAAGAGCTATACTGATTTGAAAAAAGACAGGAAGTTGCAGTTATAGTGTACCACAATATGGTCCACGAATATATGTGCACTGAATAATATAACAGAACACATAATAAGACAGACCCATCACGTTACTGAATAAATCTGAATAAATCCAAATATTAAACATGGGGCTAGGCCCCATATTATGATAGCCCTTTAAATGTAAGTATCTCATCATGAGGGCTTACAACACGGCTTACTGTCTCACAATGCACAGGGTATAAGAGTTGTTGCGCATCATGTATCCGACCGAGCTCAAACGACACAATCAAGTCTTCTTTGTTCATGGCTGCATGACCATCTTGTCATTGGATTGCCAAAATCAATACTACAGATAATGTCCGAGACTATGCATGCCCAAATGAATAGTATTAAGTGTATAAATATAGAATTCAGACATGATCCTCACGTATCTTACACGTTTTCACATTTAGATTCTATCAACATATGCTCGTTGGGCAGAGTGAGCATGCCTATAGTCACCAAATTGCCAAATGAATAGTGCAGAGAATGTCCGAGCATTGATATGTCAGACACCCTGCATGCCCAAACGAATAGTGTTGAAAGTAAACAAATTGTTGTAAACTACTATTTCTGAAGTATCTCAATATTTTATTTATTCACATCCTTTGAGCCATAGTGAGTGATAGTTGTTACCCGAGCATGAAACAAAATATCAAAGGTTATTTTTTCAAGTAGTGGTGTAGAAAAAACTTTGAGGTGAAAGGTTCACCTATTTACGCAAACCGGTTGGCCATAAAAGAAAGTCTGAAGTTGGCTCTTTTTCAGGTAAAATGAACTTAACATTGCTATAGAAATCTTATATTTAGTGTTAAAGTTCCATTCCACCAATATTTCAAACTTCCCTCAGAAAAGTCGAGTTTTGTCAAAAGAACAAAATTGAAACTAATAAGATTATTTTGTTTCCCGATAATTCAGAGTTTCAACCTGCGTTCTTGCAGTTGTCTGTCTTCGTAACTGTAATAGTAGCTCCTGAAGCTGAGTGATTATATCGACTTCGATCGATCGTTTTGACAATCGATACGTTTATATTCATCATAATGTTTTTTTTGGCCTTGTTGTAAGCATATGCAGGTCGAACGAATCGGTCGAATTCAGATCATCCCCGGAACACCAGGATCGCCGTTATGTGCTGAGTTTATTTTCGTAAGTATATCTTTGTAAGTTCAATCATGCTAGCTTCATCTACAGAATCGATGCCTGAAAGGAAGTCAACTTAGAAACAAAGAAAAAAATAGAAAATAAGATAGTCCTGTAGAATTTTGCCATCAAAAGTAAGTTCCGTATACAATATCCGGAAAAATGTTTCATGAGTTAAATAGGATATGATCTCAATTCAATCAAAGAGTTGGCTTTTACACAATGAGCTCTCAGGATATTTACGATCTGATGCACAGGAAAATAAAGTCAACAGTGTCTCCCGACGTCATAACCACGACAAACATTTTCAGCCTAGAAGTTCCATGACCAAAGTTATATTTGACACGCCTAGTATACAAATCTTCAATTCTTGTTCCAGGAGATAATTAATCCTTACCTTCTACCTCCGGAAATAGATATGTCTTAGATAATTTTTCAGTTTCCATCACAGACTTGTTTTAGGGCTGCTTTGACTTTGAAACTCATCATATTTAGAATTGAGGTCTAAATTGGCAGGATGAGTAACATGTTTGGTATACTCGAAAATGCTCATGAGGCGTGAAGTCAACAACAGATCAAACCGAAGGCTGCAGAGAGAAAGGCATGCTCATAATTCACTATCAATGCATATTCGAATACTGAATCATTGCCGTGGTCCAGGGCTTCTTTAATCATGTATATATAAGATGAGGTACAATTGTCAAGAGAGGAGCGTATCTATCGTAACAATTCGTTATATGCCGTAGAAATGTTCGATAGTGGATGAGAACACTAACAGCTCTATAATTCGTGTCCTCAGGATTCGCCCGAACTGTTTCTGACCGTGGGCTTGTGCGAACAGATTTTGCAATTTACAATACAGACATGAATGTTCATATCAAATTAACGCCAGTAGTCATTCACAGGATAGATAGTCTGCTTGCAAATAGAATTCAGCTTAAGTTCGAACAAATGGCAATTCATCAAGATAGAATGATCTGCTAAACGCGTTCCAAGAATTCTCAGACATCTTGTAAAATGAAACTTGAGTATGACATGCTGTGGAGGTATACATCAGGATGAGAGCTTTCAGTGACTTACACTGAAGTAGGTAACTCTTGACCAAATTTTTGACGAGGACTGCGACTGTGTCAACCGCCGTCTCGACTCTTATATCTACTAATCACCAAAACAGGCAATGAAATGCTATGATGATTTAAACTAAAGCAAGGAATAATGGGGTTTTCCTTTGTCTGGTTACGCAGAGGCTTCATCTGTAACATGATTTTGCTTCTTTGCAATTGAAAATCTCCTTCTCATCGATATCGATTGACCTGACAACTTGATGACTTCAATGAAGAATGCATTCGTGGATGCTGGTTCGCACTTCAAAGCTTCAGTCAAAGGCTTGATACTGCTCTTTACGTGATAGGTTCCGTGACCAAAGGCCACAGTTCTCAAGAATGGATGAACTACTTACTCAGCTTTCATCCAATCGCGACAAACCCGTCCATATAACTACACTTGGAGTGAAAGTCGTGGTTTACGCAATAAATATTCGACCTTGCGTCCATGATGAAGAGGTAGCAGTTTAATTATACCTTAATTATACGACAAGTGCTACAGAATGCTGCGTGCAAATAGACCAAGCAGAAAACAAAAATGAGTAAAGTGAAGCCATAAAATGACATTCTTGTTTGAGATGGAACGGACAAGACACTTATTGTTGCCATCGTCAGACACAATTGACCGTGCTTGCTTTACTGAATCTTGTCGATCACATGATCAATACTTTCAACTAAGAGAGGTCTAATTTTCTTGTCGGACGATGTCTGTGCATTTGACCTCATTCGCTCCCGACGTTCCTGAGTGAAAAAAAAATAAATGAAAATTACCACTTCAGACAATGAGACAGATTTTTGCAAACGACATTTGAACCTTTCAAGGTAAGCCATTCAAGACGTCTGCGTCCAGTTGTTGGAATGAGGCAAAATTCCAGCGATACCGAGGTGTAAGTGCTATACATGTCCGTGAAGACTAGGTTACAACACTGAGCGTGTGTCTAGTCGTCATCGTTTCTTCCATAGCACTGGTCACCAGGATCAATAAAGTGCTCATGTATGTCAGAAGCGTATCGGATTTACGATATTCATACTTGGTAAACACTTGGGTTCCTTCTTCAATCCTTCTTAATACGGGGAATCTAGATAGTCTTAGACTTCGAGTTCGCAGGTCTTCTCACTCGTCACTTTTTCTGTCGTGAGGTTCACCGTGATCGACGTCGATCACAACATTCAGCAGCCTCCATGACAAGAACACCGATCCAAGAACGAAGCTCTCGTCAATGGTGAAACAACGTTGCACGATGGGACGTCACTCCTCCCATACAGTAGCTCGGCAAAGAATGTGAAGTGCTGTACCTCGCGGTTCGAACTTCCGTGACAAGCGGCGGCATGTCTTGACCCCGCATGATCGACCTGCTTAACTTTGTTCATTCGATCCACACAAACCTCCGTAAAGGACGTAGGACATGTGGGGCCAAGCTATTGTCATCTGTATATAGTTTTCTTTAATGTATTAAACTTTGTTAAATATATATATAAACAATCCTGTATCCGCACGATAATAACTAAGCCTCGTGTGCGTCCTTGATGAGGTCAAGGATAAGAAGACCATCACAAAGGATCTTTACGAAAACAGTCAAGCAAGTCAACACCTGCGGCCCGTGGTGACGGAAGTTCGCACCGCAAGGTACAGCACTTGGTCTTCCTTGCCGAGTTACTGTAATTGAGCCCCACAATTGCCACCAGAAGCCCCACAATTGCCACAAACCGTTTAGGGGCATGCCTTGCCAAACATTCTCAAAACGAATAGTTTTTGCGATCCTATTACCACACGCATGCTGACTCTGCTTGACTCTGCATGTCTCTATCCTAACAAATATTCTTCACTTATGATATGTGGAGCTAAACGCACAACTATCCA